GACTGATCAGTGACGTGAGGCAGTCCCAGATGATGAGGGTGACCGAGGACCATTGGGGACATGCTGAAAGGCCGAGTTGGATCTGAGCCCACACAGCTAGCAACAAAGATGTTGCAGAGCATGCCTTGGCTTTGGATAAATACATGTGGGAGTAGGTAGGGTAGGCAGTCTTCAGTATTTGCCTTACTGGTAGTTTGCTTTGTTATTTCATGACTGAAGCTTAGTGTAATACTGTTTGCATGTCAACATGTGTGTGCTACTCCAAATGTGATCCAAATGGCACAGCTACCTCTTGGAGCGACACCTCTTATTTCTTTGGCTCCTTCTGTTGAGAAAGCTAAAAAGCCTGTGCTTTTAGAGACAAGTTAACAGCCTCCATGTGCTGCACAGCAGATGGTGCGGTAATGTTGGAGGTATATTTTATAATAACCTTTTTCCACATGGGGATATTGAGGTATAGAGAAGCCTCTTCCTGTTTCCAGAGAATGAATCGGTGACAGAGAGAAACTAGGAGTGCAGGAGTTCAAGAAAAAGTGCTTCCATAAGTCTTAAGGCCTGAAGTCATCTCGCAAAACTTTAGATAATCCACCTAGGTCAGCCTGGACTCTTTTTAAGGCCAGTAAGAGTGTGAGGCATCTCCAGAAGATGACTTGGCACAGCTCCATATTGGCATCTCCCTGCCGAAATGCCTACCCTTCTTCATCCTGCCCATGGTCAGGTGCTTCCTAGTTTAATCAGCTCAGTCAGATGCCCACAGTTAAGTTGGATGAATCTGGGATATTCTGATTAATGTTCAGAGAAAGGTCTGAGCACTAGCCAGCAGCTGTTCAGTGCAGTCGCAGTCATACAAGGTACTTCAACAGCAATGCAAATGGTATTTTGGCTCCAGATGGGAACAGATGCTCAAGTCTCCAGGAACAATGCAAAACTGGGATGTATCCAAGTTTGGACCCAAAGCCTAGGTTCAGGTGAAAAGTCCACAGCAGAAAGGGTTTCTTCCTTGACGCTGGTGTGGATGTGGCTGTGCCCTGCGCTTCCCCAGGACAGGAGGAGGTTGTTTCCTAGCAGTCCAGCCTGGAGGAATGGATCTCACCAAAATGCTGAGGGGATGAGATTTGCAGTGTGAGCTTTCCGAGGTAGGGCTACTTTTGTTGCCCTGGGAGGAGGAGGAGGAATTTTAAGAGCGCAGTATCAAAGGGGTCAGAGGACTGGCCATCCAGAGAAGGCGGTGAATTGTGAATAGTAATAGCCAGAGGGAATTATTGGAGAAATGACTGAAGGCCAGAGCATTTTTGTATAAATCTTGCTCTAGATAATTCTGAATGAAAATACATTTGTAAATACCAACATTTCCCAATTGGTTTCCCACCTAGAGGGAAAGGACTCAGCTCAGCTAAGTTCTTCCCCATGAATAGGTGTGCTTATAATAGCCACTGAGTTTAGATCAAACCACAGGACAGGGACAATAGCCACTCAGACTTTCAGAAAAGCTCAGTGGCCTGTATGCTACAGTCTTTGCCAAGGTTGGCTATGAATGGCACAAGAGAAGATCTTTAATGCTGGTCCCTTCTGAAACTTTGGCCTTGACAGCAAGTGCTAACCTGGGATATCTGACCATGAACTCTCCAGAAACTTTAGCATTAGTTATCCGAGACCTGAACGCTAAACTTTACAGCAGGGCATCTGACCCGGGCTGCCAGCCCAGAAATGAGATCTCACAGGTTATCTCAATTAAGAGGTAAAACTGATGGTGGCATCTAACATGGATTTATCACTGCATTTTTGCTTCCTTCCTCCTGTGCCAGAGGTGTTGCTGGGGAGGAGCAATGTAGGCTCATAGCGACTCAAATAGGGTTTTGCGGAGGGTTTTTTTTTTTTTTTGGGGGGGGGGCACTTTGAAAGCTGGCAAGGAAAAGAAAATGGCCCCAAGCAGAAGAAAGTCACCCTCGCCACCACCATCCTTTTCTTGGGCTCCCACTACCCTGTCTCATTCCTGCTGTGTGCTCTGTCTCGCTGCTTCACAACCTGAGCCAGCCATGCCTCCATTGCCCACACACCCCATCTCCAAGTGGCACCCAGTGCAATCCAAAGCATTTGAATGCTGGAGTGAGCTTTCCCAGCTTCCTCCTTCTAGGCAGCAGACATGCTATGTGTGTGGCTTTGAAGGCTGCTGTTATCCTAGCTCTCTGCCTCCAAAAGGAGATTCATGCCTCCTCATGGCTGTTTTAAATGAACTGTGGAGGTGATGCCCTAACTTTGAACATGCTTTAGCCTGCAGTGTAACTCGATGCTCTATTAGGACCTCATCTCCATCACCTTGACTCATCCCTGTGCCTGACCAGGGTGGAGGGAGTCAGCCCAAAGAGTGAATCTGCCTGTCAGCAAATGCTCTTTTCTAATGATCTCATTCCTATGCAAGGGGCATTTTCAGTACCAATCTCTTTCATCACCAGTTGGCTGATAGTGGAGCAAGGGCAAGGAAAATGAAGCAAGGATTTGTGCACTGCCCCTCTCTGCCTCCCCCAGGCAGGACACGCTGTCCAAGGGAGTGCTCTAAAAGTGCCGCATCTATTTTAATGGCATAGTTCGAGGAAGTCAGCTCTGAACCAGCAGTGAGAGCAGCAGAGGGAGGACGCGCTGCAGTCATAAAAATTCCACTGACATAAATCAATAGAAGGAGGAGGAGAGTGGGAGGGAGAGACGGCAAAGTTGGACACTGTTCATCTCTGCCCATAGGAGAGAGAGGGAAGTAGTGCCTCCATTGTCTTGGGGGTTTAACAGGAGAGAAAGGGAGCAGAAGTCGGAGAAGAGCTATCAGGAGCAGGTGACAGCTTTTAGTATGGGCTGGTGGAATTGAATTTGGGGGTCTGGCTTCAGACAGCCACTGAGTGCTGGGCATACTCCTGCATGACACTAATTAGCACCTCTGCAGGCAGGCTGAGAAAAAGGGTAAGGAGCAAATGGGCTCACAGCAGCAGCAAGTAGCAGAACTGTGGGCTAATGATGTGAGCCAGTGTCAGCCCAGTCCAGTTGGGAGCAGCCTCCGGGAAGTGCTAGTTATGGGTGAGCTAAGACCCCCTGTCTCTCACCCAAACCAAAGGTCCTTGTTATGGAGGAAACTCTCTTTTCTGACTGCAGAAGGCTTAAGCACAGTTTGAGCTGGACACACCAAGAAAAGTTGATCCCATAGCAGGCCCTGCCCTGGTTGGTTTCCTTTTCTAATCTTCAGCAAGGAGTATCTGCCCAAGAATCCTTAATGCCCTAGTTTTCTGTATAAATACTAGGGATAACATGTATGTTATGCCCTAGGCTAGCCTATCCATTTATGGTCTAAGCCTTGCATGGAAAGGACAGATTCTCCCCAGGCTTATGCACAATGTTACTATTGCTCTTTGTAAAAATTAGGTGTATGGATCACTGTTGGACTGTATCCTAACATGTAATAGAAAGGGCTGTCTGCTTGCTTTCCCTGGTGAGCTGGCAAGCAGCCTTCCTTGCCTGTATTTGGAAGGTGTAGCTGAACTATTAGGAAAGTGAGGGCAGCATTTAGGATTGGATTCCCACAGGAAGTGTGGGTTAGAGGAGCGGACAGTGAGGTGGATTGAGAACTGGCTGAATGGCAGAGCTCAGAGGGTTGTGATCAGCGGCGCAGAATCTAGTTGGTGGCCTATAGCTAGCAGTATCCCCCAGGGGTCAACACTGGGTCCAGTCTTGTTCAATATATTCATCAGTAACCTGGATGAAGGGACAGAGTGCACCCTCAGCAAGTCTGCTGATGATACAAAACTGGGAGGAATGGCTGATACACCAGAAGGCTGTGCTGCTCTTCAGAGAGACCTGGACAAGCTGAAGAGTTGGGCGGAGAGGAACCTCCTGAAGTTCAACAAAGGCAAGTGCAGGGTCCTGCATCTAGGGAGGAGTAACCCCATACAGCAGTACAGGTTGGGGGTTGACCTGCTGGAAAGCACTTCTGTGGACCTGGGAGTCCTGATGGGCAACAAGCTGACCATGTGCCAGCAATGTGCCCTTGTGACCAAGAAGGCTAATGCTATTCCAGTGTGCATTAGGCAGAGTGTTGCCAGCAGGTCGAGGGAGGTGATCCTCCCCCTCTACTCAGCCTTGGTGAGGCCTTATCTGGAGTACTGTGTCCAGTTCTGGGCTTCCAGTACAAGAGAGACATGGCACTCCTGGAGGGAGTCCAGCGGAGGGCTACAAAGATGATGAGGGGACTGGAGGGTCTCTCCTCTGAAGAAAGGCTGAGAGAGCTGGGCCTGTTTAGACTGCAGAAGAGAAGACTGAGAGGCAATCTCATCAATGTATACAACTATCTAAAGGGAGAGCGTCAAGAGGATGGGGCCAGACTCTTCTCCGTGGTGCCCAGTGACAGGACAAGAGGCAACAGGCACAAAATGAAACACATGTTCCATCTGGACACGAGGAAAAACTTCTTTCCTGTGAGGGTGACAGAGTACTGGAACGGGTTGCCCAGAGAGGGTGTGGAGTCTCCGTCCTTGGAGATATTCAAAACCCGCCTGGATGTGATCCTGGGAAATATGCTCTAGAGGACCCTGCTTGAGCAGGGACATTGGACTAGATGATCTCCAGAGGTCCCTTCCAACCTTGGCCATTCTGTGATTTAGCCAGTGCCCATGCTGAACATTCATGCCTGTGCCAAGAGGTGTGCTCAGCTTGAGTTGTCTGGCAAGAGGAAGTCCAAGCCCTTGTTAATACCATCTTGGCTTTCTGGCCAAGAATCAGGCCAAACATACTGCAGCTCAGTCCACCAGCCAACACACAGTGCTTGGCTCTTCTTATGTGTACTGTGGATGTCCTGACCCTGAGCTGGGGATGATCTACAGGAAAGGTATCAGTGGCCACCAAAAGCTGCTCCCAAGCTTAAGAGGCAAATATGCTGGCTGTAACTCCAAACCTGTAGCTCTGAAGCTGGGGGACAGGGTTATGCCTTGCCTGAGAGACATTTTCTTTGTTATCTTTGACAGGAATACACCATCGATATCTTCTTTGCTCAGACATGGTATGACCGGCGTCTTCGTTTCAACAGTACCCTCAAGGCTCTCACACTGAACACCAACATGGTGAGCCGCATCTGGATCCCAGATACCTTTTTCAGGAACTCCAAGCGGGCTGACTCCCACTGGATAACCACTCCTAATCAACTCCTCCGCATCTGGAATGATGGCAAAGTTCTCTATACGCTCAGGTACATCCAGCAGGCGTTGTAGCTGGCTGCTGAATTGAGGGAATGAGGAGCAGATCAAGGCAGAGGAGGTTTTCGAGTGCCCTGAGAGAGAGTAGTGGAGATGTAGGTATCTCATGGCACTGATGTTGCCACACATCTGGCACTCATTGCAAAACAGGCTTCCCCTTCCCAAGATGAAGGCTCCCAAAAAATCAAAGCATTTTTCCAAATTGTACCCAGAAAAAAGTCAAAAGTATAAATGGTTTCCCATACCAAAATCCTTTAAATATTTGTGTTGGTCAGTCCAGCTATTTCATTTTGAGAATAAACATTTGGCTTTTGTCCCCATAAATTCCCATTCCCATAAATGAATCTGACAAGCTCAGTAAACAAAAAGCTCTTTTGAATGTGAAAATTAGATCTTTTTCTTCACTTTGAAAATATCCAAATGTGCATTTTGTTTTGCTGCTGTTTTGAAATGTTTCTGCAAACAGACTGAGCTTCAACAACTTAGTCTCTCTCTTTCAAGGAAGTGAGAATCCCTCTGTAACACCATGGTGTTGGAATCAAACCACTTTCATCAGCAGAAAAGCTAAGGTTCTCTCTCTCTCTTTCTCTGTCTCCCAGACTGACTATTGAGGCTGAATGTCTGCTCCAGCTGCAGAATTTCCCAATGGACACTCACTCCTGCCCTCTGGTTTTTTCCAGTTGTGAGTATCCATATCTTAAACATAGTTTTAAAAAGCAAGTAGTGAAACCTTAGTACAGTAAGATACTCCGCTAGGGACATCATCCTCCCTTTTAGATTTCCGCCTAATCTCTATGACCCTGAAGCATCCTCCAGCTCCTGGGCTAGGAAGGAATCAGGGCAAGATTCACAGCATGTGAGTTTCTCCTTAATTTGGACAGCCAGTTGCAGGTGATTATTTCACTGACTTTCTGTCACTCTGACTTATTAACCCTTCAGCTGGCACCAGTCCTGCTTAGCATCTTCCCCCCTGCCTTCTGCTCTCTGAGGGAATGGTTTGGCTTTCCAGACCAAGAAAGATCCCAGCCTCAGAGGCAGGCCTACCTTCTGTACCCAAGGCCATCAAGAAGGGGAGGAACTCGCATCCCGCCTCTCCATCCACATTTATCTGTTTTCATCAGCAGACAGGGCTGCTTATGCTGGCACATCTCCATTGGTAACTTAGCAGGGATCCTGTCTGCACCAAGAGATTCCCAATCCCATGCGTTGGCTGGAAAACTTATTTAGTCATCTTCACGCTGGTTTGGCCTCTCCCGCTTCCTGCACCACCGAAGAGATGCAGCTCACGTGGCTCAGAGGTGCTTTGGAGGAAGGCAGCATGCTGAGGAGATAATGTCCGCTAGTCTCCCACCATCCCTCGTTCTTTGCTAATTAACAGTACATGCCATACATGCTCGATAATTAGAAGCACAGTTTTAGTTAGCTGTCAAACTCTCACTCCTTCCCTCCCCTGAGGAGCTCTCTGGTAGGTGTCGAGGTCCCTGCTTCACACTAGGCTTGTATCTTTGCCAAGAAAGCAGAGCCAGGAGAAGCCACACTCCTGCCTGCCGGAGCTAGGTCTCCTTCTCCATGAGGAGCTCCTGCCTGCCGGAGCTAGGTCTTTCTTCTCCGTAGATCAGCTCCCAGGGTGAGGGACACAGAGATTTGCAGGGCAGCCACGACCATGCAAACCCCCATAACTCCTGGGAAGGGAAGGTAGCCATGAGGAGAGGCAAAGGCCCCTCGTTGCCCCATTGTCAGCACTCCACTCCTCACAGAAGGTTGGTCCTATGCCCAGCAAAAAATGTCTAGAAAAGAAGTAGCCTGAGAAGAAGGGCAGAACAGAGCTGAAACCCATAAGGACTTCAGGTTGAGGAAATCCTGTTATACAAACCCAAGTCTCCTTCCCACTATCCCTGTGGTTAGAAAGGCTCTATTGCTGGCATTGCTTTTCCCATCCCTATGGCTCAAAAGCTGCCCACAAATGGAAATGCTGTCCCTACTCCTATTGTATGGGGGGATGCCTAAGGGAATGTAACCAAAGGGCATCAAAAATACCTGCCCAAAAGCTTCAGACATGTTTACAAAGCACCCATGGTAAGATGCCAAAGCTGTTGCAATCAGGACAGTGGACAGGATACAGGCACATCATGTACTCTCTCCCCTGATGTCCCTGCCTCTTTTCCCAGATGGCTACCCGCGTGAGGAGATTGTCTATCGCTGGAGGCGCTATTCCATTGAGGTCTCTGACCAGCGCACTTGGAGGCTTTACCAATTCGACTTCACAGGGCTGAGGAACACCTCGGAAGTCCTCAGGACTGGGGCAGGTGAGGCAAAAGAAGCCAACTCATGGAAATGCCAGCATGTCAGCATGTCTGAAGGCGTTATCAGGCAGCTCCATGATGGTGGGGAAGGGAGGCCGCAACAGTACAGAGCCAAAGGGAGTTAGACCTGATGTGAAAAACCTCAGACTGAAAAAAATGGGCCTTTGCTAGAGGGAGCTGAAGTGATGGAAATAAAGGATGAGGGGAAGCAGAGTATGGGGCAGGCCAGAACTGCTGACATCTGTGGACTGTGGAGGGACGATACTGTTGCAGATTACACTGTCCCTAATCAAAGGGTCAGGAGGGAGAGGAGATGGAGCTCAGATCTCCTCTTGCTGAACTACTGGCTGGCTGATGTTTGTCATTTTCATTTTGGTAATTGCTTACAAGCTCCATCTTAACTCTAGAGCTGCAGGATTGTTTTCGTTCAGTACTCACTATGAGCCTCTGAAGAAGAACCTCAAATCTAAGTTGTCCAATGAGCAAGGAGGATGTGCAGCATCACGTGGCCTTTTTCTGGGATAGAACCAGAGACTCAGCAAAAATTATTGAAGGATATCTTTTTCGCAGTTCAAGTAGTTGGCAAGCCAGTCAGTGGGGCATGGAGCCTGTTGCAGCTAAATAGCTTTCTATAGAACAAGAACCCTTAAAGCAATCAGCTAAAGTTGAATATTTTCTTGAGATTTCATGAGTTCTTCTTCCCTGAAACTTTCCCGGACGCGTGCTTTTCAGTGTGCCTGGCCACAAAGCAGGCACAAACAGCCTGAGGGCACACAGCCAGCCAAACAGCCAGCCAGCTAGCCCGTTAGGCAACCACAAAGCCAGCCCTCAAACTAGCCACAAATCCAGCAAGTCAGGCAGCAACAGAGTCAGCAGGGTAGCCACAGAGCCCACTAGCCACAAAGAGAGCCGACTGCAAAAACAGCAAACTAGCCACAGTGGTACAGTCACAAAGGCTACTCAGCTAGCCACGCAGCTGTCTACGAAGCTAACGAGGTGGGCAGTCACAAAGCCAGCCACAAAACCAGCCAGCCAGGCACTTCAGACAAGAAAACCTCAACAGAAACACTCCAAATTCTCAAACTTCACTGACTTCTGTGTTTTATAGGAAGCCACATGTTATGATTCCAATGTCTCTGTTGCTCTTCCCTAGGGGAGTACATGGTGATGACAGTTTCTTTTGACCTGAGTAGACGTATGGGTTATTTTGCCATTCAAACCTATATTCCCTGCATCCTGACCGTTGTTCTCTCCTGGGTTTCCTTCTGGATCAAGAGAGATTCTACACCAGCCCGGACATCTCTGGGTAAGAGACAGGTTGTTGCATGTCTGGTGCTCTGCAAGAGTAGCAGGCTGGCAATGTTAAAGAATGAAAGCACCTAAAGCACTTCACCATTTTTTGACCTTAGTTGCTGGAAGATATTGTGCTCCTCCATCTTTGTGTTTGTGACGCTCTCTCCTCAAGCTCAACCGAGTCCCTGGCTAGGCTTGCCTGGATCACTGGACTATTTCAGGCTGGCACAAGATTCATGTACCTTGATCTGAGACCCCTGTGACAGCCTCTTCCAGGCTGACCATGTGGTATTCTCACACTCTGAAGGGGAGAGGGAAAGGGCATGCTGTGGCATTGCAATACTGGCCAAAGGTCTCCTGCCACAGGTATGTATGCTGCATTTCCTCGTGACTTCTCAAGGGCTCAGGGTAGGTCCAGCAACATGAGTGTTGCTGGGTCAATGAGCAAAGTTGCTCAGCTGTATCACAGAGTCCCAAGCACTGGCAGGAGGTGGAAGTGCAGTAGGTACAGGTTTTCTTTGTCACTCACACCACAGTGGGAATCCAAGATGTGGCAGCAGCCCTGCTTGTTGAATAATTTGGAGTGGTTCTTCAAAGCAGGATAAAGTTCATGTTGATCAAATCCTACTCTGATAGGAGCTAGAGAGTTTTCCACCTGTTTTAACACACTTTGGCTGTATCTATATTTTACAACAAGCTCTACTTCCCAGCGCTGCCTCAGCCCTCCTTAACTGGAGGTAGCGTTGCCAGCCCTGTCTGCAGGCCTTTGCCAAGAGGAAGGGGAGAGGCGAGGGGCTGTCAGCATCAGCCAGGGCTAATCCAAGCTCCTCCGTTCTGACCATCTCTCCTCATCTTGCTCTCAAAATAAATTTCTTTGGTGCCCTCAGAGAAAGCAGGAGGAGGAATTGGGTGTCGTTTCCGATAGAGGTGAAGATACGCCATAGTCCGTGACTGGAGAAGGAATAAACAGCAAAGGGCAAAATGTTGTGCATGGTTGACACCGCTGTGGTGACTGTCTTGAAAAACAAAGGCAGGTTCGCCCAGGAGGGGGGCTCTCTCCGCGGGAAGGGACCTCAGCACGTTAAGATTAGTGTATTCTCTAGACAGCCCCTGTTGTACTTCATACAAATGATCCTCAGTACATTTCAAGCCCATCAGCCTACGTTAGGGAGCTGTAAACCAGCATTTCAAATATATAGGAAGTCACATCACAGCTGCTAATGCAAATACAGCAGGAAAATATTTCATTGTGCCTCATTGTGCTCCCACTCAGGGACACTGGGTTGAGCACAGGAGAGGATGACATGGAGGCATATTTAGATCAGTGCTAGAGAAAGAACAGCAGGAAGAGTTCCTGTTCATTCTCCACACCCTAAAAGCAATGGATGAGATCATTATACCAACTCTTGTAGCTGACCCTTTGTTGGCTCCTGATACTTATCTCTGGAAAGAGATCTATGAGCATTATTGCTGTTTCAAAAGCTATTCCAAGTCCCATTCAAGTCAAAAGAGATTCCTTACCATTTCTCCCAACTCAGTGAGCTTTACATTGGGCCAAATTCATCCTGGGCGCAAATACTCAAAGACAAAGGGAGGACACAAACTGGACCCTTTGCATTCTGAGATGTGGTTCACGTCAGCCAGAAATAGCAGTGCTATGATGTCTGTGATATTGTCACACTTGTTACTGGCTCAGGTGGACATCACTCACTGAATCCCAGCTCACCCATTGACTACCTAAAGCCATCTGTCCACTGTTATAGCCCACGTTAGCATGTCCTTCCCTTGGACTCTCCTCTCATCATCCAAGCAGCTGTTCCTCGTGTGCAGCCTTAAACAGGGGCTGAGTTCCCTATTTCTTTGCAAGCCCACATTGATGGCCTGTGTGACCTCCTGATTTCAAACAGATCTTATTCCATGGAGCATTGTCACAGGGCACTGCAGGACCGGAGTCTGGCTAAGCAGAGCAAAAAAGGGACCAGACAACCAGAGGCGTTTCTCTCCCATAGATACTTTTTGACCCATTGAAAACATTGCAAGACCATCATCCCTGCGAACAGCAAAGCAATTCTCTGATGTGTTGCACCAGGAAATAATTTTTTTTTTGTTTCAAAATCCCTCACAGATAGTCATGCACCCAGACGCAGAAAGGCAACAAGATTCAGGAAGAGACCATCTTAGCCCCAAGGCTGCAGCTCGTGGACCCGTCTGGGAGCCCAAGTGTTTCGTTTTGCTGTACCAACCAGGAAGCTGTGGGGCAGCTATGCTGCCCTTTGTGGAGTCCATCTGCTCCCCAAAGAGTGCAGCACAGGTCCTTTTCCTGCATTCTGCTCCCTCATACTTTCCTTTCAGTGGAGGGGGACAGTCCCTCCGCAGACTATCCAGGCAGGCCCTTCAGAGAGGAAGAATGGGGATGTTTTGGCAACCTAGAGCATGCAGAAGACAGAACTGCTCCTCTTCATTGCCTGAACCAACTCTTTTCCCTCTTAGGTATCACCACTGTGCTAACAATGACCACCCTGAGCACCATCTCCCGCAAGCACCTTCCCCGTGTTTCCTATATCACAGCCATGGACCTCTTTGTCTCTGTGTGCTTCATCTTCGTCTTCGCAGCTCTCATGGAGTACGCCACGCTCAATTATCTGGTAGGAAACAAGAAACCACTGGAGCACAACAGCAGGAAAACAAGGCTGGTAGGTCCAAGGGGCCAGCAGAGGTGGTTGCTGTTAGAACCCCCATTTAGGACTACCCCTCCTGCACCTACACTGGAAATTGCTGAAGGTGTTTAGTTGTTTAACACACAGTCCTATGTACATAAGACCCTCAGACCCTCCTTTATGCTGGATCAGCGCTCCTGAAAGGTGAGACAGAACCAGAAAAAACCACGGAGGCTCCCCTACAACAAGGGCTTCCCTGTCAGAGCCAGGCATCCTACCTCTCTTCACAGTCACTGGAGAGCTTGTCAGTATGGTTTAGGGTGACTCGTGACCAAATGTAAACTTCTGCTTTAAGATTAGGCGACATACATCTAGGCTCTCTAACCTGTACCGATTTGATTTACATGGACTATGGAGGCATCTTAGATAGCAGAAATCCAGAAACCTAGTGTCTTTTGTGGTCTAGCCACAAAGACCTGCTGAGTTGGGGGACAGTGAACCCAAAGTGGCTTTATGCCACTGAGATCTGCTCAAGCTCATGGCAGGTACTTCTGACGCATCAGCTGAAAGGGGGCTCTTAGATGGGACTGAAAACAAAAAGCCATATCTCTTCCTGGCCAGGCTCACGTCCCATTGAGTCCCCTCCCTCTCCATTGAGTTGTGCCCATGCTATGAACTGCCTAATTGCTAGTTGCATGAGTTTTTGTGTCTAGAACACTTTTTCTTGCCTTTTGTTTCCCTCTAATCCATTTCTCCCTCCTTGTTGCAGCCATCTGCTGGCATCCAGGTGATGCCATCCTTCACCACCATCAACATCAACAACATCATGCACTGGCCCCCAGAGGTAGAGGAGGATGAGGATGAAGACCCTGGTTCCCCATGCCTGGAAGGGAAGGAATGTGAGAGATTCTTCTGCTGCATTGAGGACTGTCAGACAGGGATGTGGCGGGAAGGGAGGGTCCGTATTCACATCTCCCGCCTGGACTCCTACTCCCGCGTGTTCTTTCCCACCGCCTTCCTGCTCTTCAACATTGTCTACTGGATTGCCTATCTGTATCTCTAGCTGTTCTTTGTCCTCAACTGGAATGGACTGGAGGCCAGCAAAATGGACTTTTCAAGGAGCATAGCAAACAGCCTCTCTTCCTGTTGTAGTCGATCATCAGTCTGAACAATCCGATTTGATGATTCCTTCTTCCTGCTCTCATCTCTTCTGAGAAGAACAAGACAGCATTTTTTTTAGCTACCAAACCTGTCTTTTTAGAAAATCTTCCCTTCCCAAACAACCTTCTTTCCAACACCACCAGCATTTGACTCCTTGTAGGATTGCCCAGAAAAGTCCTATTCCTGTCAAAAGGTTAGGGATTTTGTCAAGAACAAAAATCCAAATGTGCTTCGTTTTTCCATCCAGTCCCACTCCAAAATACCATGGGAAGTGATGATAAATTGAGTTTTTTCCATAGTTTTTAAGTCTGCAGAGGAAGTAAAGTAGATTTTACAACTTCTGCACCATCTCCACCAGTATAGACTTTGTGGGAGTGCTAGAGACATGGAAAGGTCAGAAGGAGGGAGGGGCCAAATAAGGTAGGAGTACTGCCTGCCTTCTGCTGAGAGCTAGGATTGGCCAAAATGCTTTGAACCTGCCGAGAAAGCTGACTGTGGTGCAGGAGTGGAGTAGTGGTAAGCCTCCACCAGCTCCCCGTAGGACATCTGTGGAGCATTCCTCATGGATTGCTCTGCTTGTTGCACCACAAGGCATCTGATGAAAAGCATTTCACGAGGCTGAATGGCCTGCTGTCTTTTCAGGACTGGCTGTCTAAGGGCCCATGATGGCATCCTGCTATGTGGTCAGGACTTTGACTGGGGTATGCAGCTTGCTTTGGGCATAGCTAAAATGGGGAGAAAGCCCTTATGCTACAGAGACCAGAAGGTGTCTCATATGCCTGTTGTGAGGTAGCTATCTTCAGCCTGTCTGAGGTGAGCCAGTGCTCTCCTTCACAAGGACTAGTGTTGAACTCCTCAGATCTGTGTACAGTAGTAGGTGCTAACCGGAGAAATGGGTCATAGGGAAGGGAACACTAACAGCTATCCCTGCACCTACCAGTGGTGAGGAGAGTTCCTGCAGCTCCGACGTGCTTCCTTTCTGTCTAATATTTAAATTAAAAACCAGACTTCTCTAAAACTGTTTGCCTCCTCCAACTTGCCAACAATCTATGCCCCTTTTCTTCCCAGAATCAGGAAGGGGAACGAGCCATGCATGGCATTCCCATCTGCCCTCCTTGGTAGCTCTCAGGAAACTCAGACAGAGCTGGTTCCTAGTGTTCTCGCTCCCCTGCCAGGTCTCTGTCAGCTGTGACAAGAACCATCAACGCCTGAAGAAAAGGGCTGGAGAAAGGTGAATTACAGTCTGAACCAGGAGGAAACTGCATAATGTAGAAGGGGAAGCTCAGGCCCAAGGTTCATCATAAGCTGTAAATCAACTGCTCCCCAATTACACCAAATGTTGATTTGGCCTACAGCATAAGTGTTTGTGCAAAGCAATGTACTATTATAGTTACTAGTTACTACTAGCTGCTATTAATGGTAAATTAATAGTACTATGTTACTTAAAAAATCTTTTTATAAATGGCATGTTTTAGAAAGCTGGCATGGCTGCAGAGAAAAAGTTAGGAATGGCTGGCTCACAGGACAGCTAACAGGGCTAGGCCATTTTCTATAGTCTTAGAGAGCAATTTGATCTGGTTTAAAGATGGATTTTGGCACTTAAATCTGATTTGAGTAATGAAGTGTCATGTTTAATTCATTCATAAATGCAGCCCTACCTTGGTTCCAGAGGAAGAGCCAGAGCACCTAATTAAGTACACAATAGTACAACATTCAGCTAAGTACAACCGAATGGGGTCAGACCAGTGTAGCTCTGGAAGGGGAAATTGTGCCTGTCTAACCTGTTACGGTTCTTTTAAAATACCAAGGAAGAGATAAAGGTTACTCAGAAGCATAATTTGCTTAGCTACTCCGACAGCTTTTGAAAGGATGGAAAGAAATTATGGCGGGTGGTTCTAACGGAGGAAATTGATTCAGTAAAAGAATTATTAAGGAGGTTCTAATTAGAGGAAATTAATTGAGGAGAGGAAAGAAGAATTGTTAAGGAGGCTCTAATTAGAGGAAATTAATGTTTTAGAGAGAGAGACACAGAGAGGGAGACATCCAAGAAAAGAATCAAAACAACTTCCAGACAAGGAGAGCTGCTGGGTGACGGTGCTGACGCCCAGCCAAGCAGGTTGATATTCTGCTTCTGATAGCAAAGCGCTATTAGATGCAGCAATAGAAAAAAATCTCCTATGACTCAACTGTATGCTGAAAGGGAGCTGGATTAGACAGGGATCTGTGATCTCTGTGGGGAGCCAAAAGGAAAGAGCATCCTTTAGATTAAAACTTGCTCACGTGACAGACTCTGAGTGAAGCGTGTCTTCACATGTCAGAAGGCAGCAGCTACTGTGTGCCTAGGAGGAGGCATCCTGGTGGTAAACCAGGGCCGTGTCAAGTATGTTCATAAACATTACGGAGGTATAAAAGATGTGCAGGCAATGTAGGCTGTCGTGAACACAGGCAACAAAATCTGGAGCGGAGCATCTGAGAAAGGGCTGGTAGATGGAAAAAAATTAATGTATGTGTGCAAAGAGTCCAAACCTCTCCAATTCACTGAGACCTCAGAGCACTTGGGAGCTTTGATGGACACAGCTTATTATCATGGACACCAAAGTAAAGACACCAGCACTGTGAGCAGCAGCATGTTGAATTTAGACCTTTTAAAGAATGAGCCAGGAGAGCAGCAAGGTGTACAGGAGACCTAAAAGGATGATAGGGATTCAGGCAAAGTAGACTTGAAAGATGATTTTACCAAAAAAGATAAAACTAACATACACCTGGGTAATTTAACCAATGATGGAAGATATGAGAGTGACTTGACAGAAGAAAATAGTCTAGCGTGGGCTGGAGCACAAGGGAGCTGATTACTAAAGCTGGGGAAGGTGGGGGGGGGTCTTTTTGGTTTAGGGAAATCTGTGCCCATCATAAATAGTTCAATAAATAAAGGCATGCAGGAATTGAGTCATGTTTTTAAGTTCTGCAGTATCTCAGAAAAGAAAAGCAAAGAAAAGCAAGAAAGAAAAATCCACCCTTTTTTGGAATTACTTTGCAAAGCTCCATTTTCCTGAAGAGAGGTTTCCCTGCTATGGGCAGGGATCCCGAGGCACAGAGACATTCGGCAGCCGTGCACTGTTCTGCCCAGCAAGGCAGTGGGAGCTCTGTCCCCCCCAGCTCCTGCCCAGGACGACGTAAACCACCCGCCTTTCCCTGCATGCTGTGGTTTCTGCAATCGCCCCGTGGGTTATGGCATTGCGGCAGCTTTCAGACCAGGACAGCTGCTGTCTTTTTACCGGTGTCTGACTAGCTCGCTCCAGGGAAGACAGCCCAAAAACATCTGGCTAATGATTTGACTGGAAACAATGATATCAGCATTTATGTTTTATGGCTTTTGTTCAGAAGATGAAAGGACGTCAAAAAGGTTGATTTCTCATTTCTCTGTCTCATCCTATCCCTCTCCTTCCCCTCCAAATTATGCCATATAAGGGACCATTTTTAGACTGTAAGCTCATCAGGGCAGGGACACTCTTACTGTGTGTTTGTACAGAGCCTAGCACACTAAGGCTTGATCCTTAACGGAGACTTCTGGATGCTACTTATTATAGGTAATAAACAGCAGTATGGACTGTCTGGCTCCAAGAGTACTGTCTATTCACTCTAAGTAGGCTAAAAATTGGCCCCCCTCACTCTCTTCCCCATGTGATTACTGAAGCTGGGTGATATTTTTATTTCTCCAGAGAAAAAGTGATGATTGGAAAAATACAATTTTCTCAGCATATTAATATTCCCCAAGGAGAAAAATGTTGGTTTGATATTTTGGGGGCAGAAGAAACCTTTCTTTTCTTTCCTTTTTTTTTTTTCCTGTAAAAAGGAAAGACAAAAGTTTCAAATCAACAGCCCTCGAAAGCAGTCTCTGCCCTTTCAAATCATTGTTTCAAAGGCAAGCAAAACCTGTGCCTGGTCCCCTCGGTCTGTCTGCTTGTTTCCTTTGCAGTGAAGATGCTGCAGTTACAAAGTGGATTGGGGGGTGGCGGGGAGGGAACCTTTATTTTGGCCTTTTTGCTCTGCCTTAGAATGACAGTGAGTTTTGGGACGATCAGGCTGTCCGAAAAGAAAAGCCCAGCTCTTGAAAAGAGCTTTATCCGTGGCTAGCAAGCCTCCTGCTCCCAGACAGGGGTGAGGAGCTGCAGCAAACAGCATCCACACTGCTGCCAACCCAGCCCCAGGCCCCCGGCCACGGTAGGGTATGTCCAACCATATCCCTTCGCTCCCTTAGAGACGGCATTCGTTAGTCATGCCCGATGCACTGGGGAAATTAATTGTCCTCTCACCGTTCGCCTCCCCCCGCCCAGCAGCCCCCTGCCCTCCCT